TAAAAAGTTTAAAAATGAAAAATGTTTACCTTAATAGTGAGTTGATTTTAGGATTTTCTATATAAATAATACACCAAACAAAGAACACTACCAAAATAATCATAATTAAAAAAAAAAGGCAAAACGGATAAAAAAAAAAAGAAAGGAGAATCATACCTTTTAATATGTTTAGATAAAACAATAAAAACAATAAAACTACAATGAAAAACACAAACTGAGAGGGGAAGAGAAGGACGAGAAGAGAAGGAATTAGAGGTGCCATGAAAAAGGAACTGTGAAGGGGGGGTCGGTTTTATACTACAGTTTTTTCGATGGAATTACCGAGAAAACATAAAATAATATTTTTTTGGGTAGTGGAATTAAATTATGTCTGTAATTTCTGTTGGTATTTTTTGAAATTCACACTAAAATTTTGAAAATCCCTCTAGATTTTTTGAAGTCCGTCAGCAAATGAATCTATAACAATGTGTTAGAGCACGGGCACCTTGGATTTGCCCCATCCGCATTGGAATGTGCACCATCTATTGGTGATGCTGTCAGTAAACGCACCAGTGATTATGGCAGGGGTTTTAATTGTTTTTGCAACTCTCAACAAAATACCAACTGGCATATGCCGTCAATATAGCCGTCGGTGAATGTGGTAAAATGTAATAATTTTTTTGTAACTCTCTATGAAATACCGATAGGTAACAATTAGAGGTCTTTACGTCGGTGTTGTGTCAAGCTTTTACATGTTTTTTTTTTGTATTGGCTGTTAATTAGTACTTAAAAGTGTATTTTTATCAAGGTTTTATATCATTATTTTTACACTTAAAGTATCAATAACTCCTTAACTAGAGAATATTTTATAATACCATGTCTAATACTATAAGATACCTTTAATTTATGGTAAATATTCATCTTAAATGCAGGCCTATGACATAAATGAAAAGATTGATTGATGAGTTTAACTTCTGAAATTTAGAAAATAATAAAAAGGCCAAGTTTAGAAAAGAGATGTTGGTTTAGTCCAAACTAGAATATTGTTCGGTCATTGGGTCATATTTAGAGTTATAGAATTTGAATCTAGGTTTATTCTATATCAATGGAAAGCTAAGACATAGGCCCTAAAACTTTCATAGAAGTCCAAGATTCAGAAAGGTTGTTTTCAAGTTCAAATTGTAGCAACAATAGAGAAGTTGAAATCTATCCTACAGCCCAGACACTGTTCAGTGTTTAGCAATATCTCTTGTTTCTGCTTCTCATTTCCTTTCCTTTACTTAGTTAACTTATATCTTATTTATGTTCTTATCTTGTTTATTTATATTTCTCCATTTCATTATATTTAGCTAAGTTTATTATGTCAATGTGAAAACATTATACTAATGGTGTAAGAATAAGTATAATATAAACTCAATATGGACTTCAGTGCTTGTATCCTAAACAACTTGCTATTAACATGTCTTATCATTTTTATCTTATTAATTCTTAATACATTGCTTGTTAAATGGTTAATCTAGATTTGTGTTGTATAATACTTGATATAACAAATGCTTGACACTTTCATAGCTCAATCGTATGGTATAACCTACACCTGTGCTATGAAAGAAACTTGATTTTTTGTTAACATAAGTTAGCATCATGAATTCTTAACAATATTTAAAAATTTGGTGTTATTTAAATAAAATAATTAATATGATCATGTTAACAATTTTTAATGAGCTATTAATGACAAATTATCCGATTGAAACCTTCTTTGTGTGTGGTTTGTAGTGGAGTAATAAAAAGAGTTTATATTATACTTATTTGAAATATCATTAGTAAATCCTCTAACCTTAACATTTGTTTTTATCATTGTTTAATCCTTACATTAATTTTATATCTCAAAGTCCTCTTTAACTTATTATTATTATTATTATTATTATTATTATACAGTTAACTTTCTTATGGTTCGACCCCGGTTTTGCCGAGTTATTTATTACTTCGATATTTCTACACCTAGGAGAAAACATTAATCTTTTAGTCATGTCAAAGATCTTTTGTGACAAATTTAAAAACTCTCTAATGTTGAAGTATTTTTTTAGAAAAGACAATTATATTTTAGAAAGAGATTTTAAAAATAAATATATAGTTGAGAATAGAGATTAAGAATCCCTTTTTTTTAAGGATATGATAGGTGTTTATAAATCATTGTTCTTAACTTGTAATAAAGGAGACTAAAAGGTCATCTTCCTCTTATAGCATTGAAACCCATTATGCATAAAAAAGAGAAATTATCTCTGACTCGTTATTTAAATTATCTCTTACACATCAGAGAAAAAATACATCTTACTTATCAGGAAAAAAAATCTTGTGGTTCAAAATAGAGCCTAACAAGATTGTCAGAGCCACGTGAGCTTGGGCTAAAAATTACCTAAGTCTGAGGGTAATGGGATGATAGCTTGCTAGTCTTATTTCTATATGGACTCAATATTTGAATGAGCTCAAGGATGTTACGTGATACAACCATATTATTCGATAATTTCACTCACATTTAACTAGTGTTTTGTCTATGTTTTATATATATAATGCCTTGATATTCTTTATTTTATATTTTAAAGGTACTTTTGGATGAAAGATGCAACAAGAAGTAAATTGAAGGTAATTGATAGATTTGACCTTCAATCAATGTTTTGTGCAGAGCGTGAGCTCTAGAGGTCGAAATGAAGTGATTCTGGTGGCATTAAAAATCTAACATCCATACCTTTATGTACATCTAAGGTAAGAAATAAAATAAGAAAGCTCACGGAAATCGCAGCCTTCAAATTCAAATCTCGTAATCTACCAATGTTGACCTTTGACCATTCTGACTTGAATATCTAGAGTTACAGAAGTCCAATTGATGCAAACTCAATTTTTTTGGATTTCTGACTCAAAAGCATATAAATGCTCCAAATTTCAGGAAAAAAAAAGATGTTATATGAGGGAGATATGATTTTCAAAGATGTCAACTGAATTCTGCTAGATAACAAGTTTCGTGAAGAAATGAGTCCAAATTACGTTTTGAAGAATCAAAACTGATATCCAAGTTTTTATTTCAGCAATTTAACTCCTCTAAGTCAAAACTTGAATATTTCATGCAAGGATATTTCTTTTTTTTTTAGAAAAATAGCTATTAAAGTACTTAAATGTAAACTGTCTACTTAAGAGAAGACTATTTTATAAAATAAAGACTAAGGTTTCCTAGGATATGAAAAGAATGAGAGAATAGAAGGGGTTCAGCCAGCCAAGAGGAGGAAAATGCTCCCCTTTTCTAAAACATGAAATTGTGCATTTTTCTTTCTCTTTAATTAGTTGTTCAATAAAGATGCAAGACTAAACACTTTTTCTTGGTTGCAAGAACACCTGTGAATTTATTTTACCTTTTTGTTTCAGTTTATAAGATGAATATGTTTGTTCTTCTATGCTTATTTTTTCTATAATTATTTATTTTAATTGCTAGAGTAAACTCTAAGTTATTATTGTGAACAATCTATTGCTAAGTTTGATATCATAACCAGAGTTGTCATATATGAACTTGTGAAGCAACTGAGTTTAATGATTGTTATTGATCTACATTTTTAATCTTAGAGAGAACATTCAATTAAATCAAACATAGACTGTGGACAGTTATGTTTTCTTGATTAATCAACTTATCTAGTTCTTAATGTTGCCATTGAATTAAATTACTAGTACGGATACTGTAGTTTTTTGATAGTTAGAGTTAGTTATACAGCGAATCCGTTAACTAACCAATATTAAGAAGAGATAAATATTCAGAATATAAATTGATGTTTCTTTCCAGTTTTGATTTCTGTAGGTGGATGTGTGCTTGCAACCAAGGTTTGTTCTCTTGATAATTTTCTGATTTTATTAAATTTCATTTGATAGTTTTTTGTTTTCTTTTGCTTTAGCCTAGATAATGTCCAAACCCCCCAAATTACATATCATCTAGCATAAAAATTTAACTTTAACATTTCTCGTGGGACTGACCCCTTGCTTGCTATATACTATCCTGTGTGTTCTGTTTGAAGTTAGGGTAACTAATTTATGCAACCACGACATTGCAACACTACGTTTGGCAACTCCTCATACTCGTATATACTTGAGCTTAATATTTTAGACAATATTTGGAATTTTGGTTTCTTTTTCAAAGAATTTTTAAAAAACTATATCAAAATAATATTTTTTATTTTTTTAAATCACTATATCAAAACAATCCAAAATAATTTAAAAAGATATATTTTTTTAATATTTTTTAACCCAAAAACAAACATACACTTGATAATTAATATGACTCCATAGGCTTGGTGTGTCTGGTAAAGATAAGCTCTCAATCATGGTCATTAAAATAACTAGCTTTAGATGTGAAAAGTTGACCGATTTCTTTTTTTCTCAAATTTAAATAATTAGAAGAAATATTGTCCGTAATTATTTTATTTGTATTATATTGTGCATATGACTTTAATCATAATTAAACTACTTTATTTTATGAATTGGATGAAGTGACTTGGCAAACTACTTGGTAACATTTTAGACTCTAAGGCATCCTTTTCCTTTCCTACATGTGTAAGGGCAAACCATTTGGTAAATGGTATTAATTAATACAAACTATAATTAATCTGTGGGTTGGATGGGAGTCAGTATCATCTTTCTCTGATATTGCTACGGTGTTGAGGGTGTATTTAAATGTGTAGTTGTTATTATTTTTTAAAATATTTTTTATTTAAAAATATATTAAAATAATATTTTTTATTTTTTAAAAATTATTTTTGATGTTATCGTATCAAATCGATATAAAAATACTAAAAGAATATGAATTTAAAATAAAAAAAATTAAAATTTTAAAAAATAGATGTTGGACTGCAATTCTATATGTTTTAATTTTTTTAAAAAATACATGTTGGACTGCAATTCTATATGTTCTATTATTTCGCTTCTTATAAAACGCTTACCAAACCTATTCTATTTTCACAAGCAAATTGAAGAGCTCTGCTGCTTCAATGATCCCGGCACAGACGGGCAGCATTTTATTCACTTCACGCTTTGCTTCGGTGTGTTATGGGGCTATGCTCCCATACGCATATGCTGTGTCAAAACATGCTCTGGTTGGACTTACTAAGAACTTGTGTGTAGAATTAGGGCAATATGGAATTAGAGTTAATTGCATTTCACCATTTGGTGTGGCGACTCCATTATTAAGGAAAGGATTGGGAGGGATCGACCAGAAGACGGTGGAGGAGTTCATTTGTACATCAGCGAACTTGAAGGAGGCAGTGCTGAAAGCAAATGATGTGGCAGAGGCAGCACTGTATTTGGGTGGTGATGATTCCAAGTATGTTAGCGGACTAAATTTGGTTATCGACGGTGGCTATAGCACCACCAATGTGGCCGTAAGAGAGCAAATGAAAGAATATTTTGGTTAATAAAGGTGTGTTTGTTAAGAGGGATTAAGAAGGGATAGACAAAAGAATAAAAAGTGAAGAATTGAGTATTTAATATCGCAAGGATGGAGATTGAAAAGATATTGGAAATATCGGTTTCAATCCTTAATTTACTGTGATTTTTAATTAGCTTTTTTAATCCGGATGGATTGAATTTCATCCTTTCTATTATTTTCTATTATTAGCTAAATAATCGAAGGAATGACAAGTCGTGTTATTTTGTCTCCCATCCTTACACTTCGTTCTATCTATTTTTTTTTTTAACAGAATCTATTAAAATATTTAATTACATTAAAAATACAGTTTATTTTTTATGAAGTCCAATACAATTGACGCTTTATACATAGGTTTTGCCGAAACAAGCTACTTTCTTTTTCACTATTCAATGTATTAGTAAATAATACAATTCATTTGTATGGTTCACATGAACAATATGCATGAATTATACTACTTATTTAAAATAATAAATAGTGTAAGTGAAATTTAATTCACTTGTTGTAATAGTTTTTTTAGTATGTTTATTTTTTTAACAGTTTTTTTTTTAAAACTAGTTTAAAATGAATTAAATTCATTCATACTATGATATGATGCGAATAATATTTTTTTCTAAAAAATTAGCGTAGAATGAATTATATTCACTCACACTGTAATATCAATTTTATTTCTAATAATATTTTATCTAATTTTATTGCACGCTCGAAAAATTATGAAAACTGTAGTTTTTATCGAATGAATTTTGTACGTAATGGAATCGTAGATGATTTAATGGAATAATAAAAAATATTTTATATAAAGTATTATTTATTTAATGATGCAATAGTAGTAATTAATTCTACAATATTTAAATTTAAAACCATTAATATTAATATATATAATTTTTTACTTATTTTATAACCTCAATTTAAAAAGTATTATTAACCAAACATATTAAATTACTTTTTGTTCAACTTCAATTTTAACCATAGTTTTAACTAAACATACAGAAATAACAAACCAACCTCAACTAAAAATATGTTTTATAAAATAATTTTTTTCAAATTATAACCACAAAAGTTACCACAATACCATAGCTAAAAGTATAGATACAAAACTCTAACTAGCTAAAAACTCAAGTTATGTGTTGGTTTCTCCAATCTAATTTTATTATTATTATTATTAAAACAATATTGTTTTATCAAACTATCAATGAACCAATTTAACTCAAAAATTTAAATAGTTAGGTAAGGTTCTAAGATTTAATTTATATTATTTTTTAATATGTACTATAAAATAAAAACCCTTTAAATTTGAAACTTACACATGTCATATTACCTTATCCTTATTTTTAATCAAATCAATAGATATTGTAAAATTTAAACTTGTGGCTACTTAAATATTAAGATTTTAATATCATGTCAAAAAAATTAATCTAAAAATTTAAGTTGTTAGATAAAATTTTAATAATATAATTTATATTATTTTATAACACAAACATTATAAATTCTATATTTTTTTCTCTAAATAAAACTATATTATTAGGTTAAAATATTCAACTTCACATAAAACTAAGTACAAACTAGAATCTAATTAATAAATTATCAAATCAAGTTAGATTTATAACTCCCGGTGAAAGTCAATGTACTACCAAAACAAATAAAGTAAGAGTCTATGTACTACCAAAACAAATAAAGTAAGAAAAGTTATCCTTGTTTACCGGGAATACATGAGGCCTGAGGGTTTCAATAACACTCAACGTACAATATATTCATAAACCTTGTTCGTCCTGACGCTAGTTGTATTTGTCAGTGAGCTAAGGTGTTCTGCTATGAATTTTTATACAAAATAAGACATAGTTTGTCTTTTCAGGCAAGGTATCTTGTACTTTGATTAAATCCATGGGCTGTGGAAGACTCATCAAATGCTAATTGGCTGTGTTTAATAATTAGCCATGAATGGCATAACATTTTATGGTTAAGCACTTCATCATAGGCAAACCGATGTAGAGATTAACGTTGTTATACATCAGAGGATCAACCAAGTACACACGGTTGCAAACCTAGTGCTGCCCGTGCTTAAGTGCCTGACAGATCATGGGGTAGGAAAAAAATAATAATGCAAATTCATCATTGCAATTTTCGGCTGTAATTTGTTTTGCTATTTTATAGTTTCATTAAATTTTATGTTTCTCAAAGTCCTTTTATACGCACAGATGTAATGCAGGGTTTGGTTACTGTTCTCAAATAGAAGAGATAGAGACATATATTATTTTTTTCCTTTTACATGAATGTAATCCTCGTCTCATGACACTACCATAATTATATCAAACACAAATGAACTCTATTATAATAATATCAAACACAAAAAAAAATACTAACAAAAAAAAACTCATCAATAAATTACAGTGATATTTATCTATGAAATATTTTATAATTATTTATCTCAATACATATTAAAAGAATTATAATTGAAAATGAAATAATAAAAAAATATCATTATTATAGAAAACATTACAAAAACAAATATGTTCATAGCTATTGGTGAATTCATCAATAATATTTAAATTATAATCTAACAAATAACCCCTTATCTCTCCCTCTCTAACTTCTTTCTCCTCTTCTTCCTTTTAAATCTATGAAAAACTACAGACAACACTCTTATATTTTATCACAAATCAAGCTATCATCTTTAAAAAATAAGATTAGCCTAACATTCAGTCTATTAGCATTCATGTTCTAGATCAATTGTTTTTCAGATTTGTCATATACAGTAAGTAAAATTATCTTTTTTTGTTGTAATTTATTTTTAAAATGTTGATTTTTTGACATTTTGATGTGGTATATATAGTTTATTTATGTATTTACTTGTTTTATAGATATTTTTCTCATAAAAATTTGTTGTATGATTTGTACATGTTAAGGTTTATTTAAGATTTTAAAAAATAATATTTATTTTTTATTTAATGAAATTGAGTTTGATTTTATAATTTAAGTATTTTACAATAAATATTGATGGAGCATTCCATTATTATTATGTGAAATTTTGGTTGTGTGACCTAAATCAAGAGTTTTTCAATTTAACCTAAATTTACTCAGTTTTTTTTAAATAATTATTTTTATTTTATCCTTCAACATTGAGTTAGTTGGGAATTGAGCTTTGTAATTATTTTTTATTTGATTTCTATAAGATAATACTACTTTTATAATCTAGGTCACAGGTTCAAAAGGTTCTTCGAGGTTAACTTGGATTTTTAAGCTATTTTTTAAATTAATTTATTTTTCAAGTTCATCCTTCAACATTGGATAGATTTGAAATTGAGATTTATAATTTTTTTAGTTCTTTTTCTATGGGGTTATTATGATTTCATAACTTAGGTTTTGGATTTAGTGGGTTAATTTGGGTCGTCTTGAATCTTTTGTAAGATATATATTTTTTAATAGTTAGTAATTGTATTTTATAATTTTTTTTAATTTTTTTTCTATGTTGTTATCATGTTCTGATAATCTGTGATGTGAGTTTAGAAGTTTTGTCAACGTTAACTTGATCTAATTTTTCTTGCCCTTTTTTAGAAATCTAATTTTTTATTTTTTATTTTTATACTTCAATATTGCGTTGACTGAAAATAGACCTTTATAATTCATTTCGATTAGATTTTTAAAGAGTTATCTCATTCTTATAAACTATATCATGGGTTTGGTCAGTTTACTCATGATGACTTGGATCATTTTCGTCATTTTTTTTAGAATGATTTTTTTTTAACCTTATTCTCTAATATTAATTTGTCTAGGAATTGAGATTCATATTTTTTTATATAATATTTATTTTTCATGGAGTATCACGAGTTATAGATTTTATAAGTTAATTAGGATTGTTTTAAGCATTTTTTTTTTAAAATAGTTGTTCCTATAATATTAAATGGATTCTAGATACAAAAGTTACAATCTATCATTATTTTAATATTAAAAAATAAAAAATATATTATTATCTTAATATTTAAAAGAGATGAGTTCAGTATACATCATATTTTGATCATATTTTGAGTTGGTCGTTAAATTCAATATTTGGATGACTCGCTTAAGACCAGTGGGAGAAGCCTACACGTACGTGGATATTTGATAAGTATACTTAAATCTGCCAAAGTGAATTTGTTTCAAGTCACAGACTTATGAAACCAATTCTTTAATGTCCCTTTTTAGATAGATCTCGATTGGTTGTGTTGCGACCCTCATCAATGACAAGGTTCACTCTGCTAACATCTATAGAGTCATCACTTCCCTAGTATATTGCTGCCTCTGCTACATCTTCCTCCTCAAGGATGAACTCTTTTGATTTTGCTTCTGCAGGGACCATTTCTAATGTTGTATTCCTTTTGATTCCTTCGAATATTATTTCCTTTACTGATGCCATTTTCTTCACATTTGTAAAGGGTCATCTTGGACATATGTAAACTTTAATGTAGGCGAAAAGTTTCATAGTTATGAACAATTAATTGGAGATTTGGCAGCAGTGGATTATGTATAAAACCAGTAGATTTGTTTGTGAATCAATAAAATAAAGCTAGTCTGAGAAGAGGTATGTTTATGAAATACCAATAATGTTAAATAAAAAAATCATAACTTTCCATCTTATTATTGGATTATATTGAAATTTCCTCTGCTACAATTCTTGTTGACTTGGCTCATTGCACCAGCCAACTTCTATAAGACCCTCAAATTAGGTTTAAGGATATTGTTTGAATTAATTTTGTTATTTTACTTCTTTTTTTGAAATATTTCAATTTAATTGTGAATTTTATAGTGTTTTCCTTTTTAATATTGTCTTCTTGTGTTCTGTCTTTCGCATCACCTGACACTGCTGACAAAAAAAAAAATGGCACTACACTGAGATTTTTATCATGACAGAGCAGGTGATTGTTTTCAATTAACTAATACAGCCCGTACCCATTCAGAGTTCCAAGCCTCCACGTGAGAGTGCCAGCTTAATTTGTCGCGCAAGGTGAGGAATATTTTTTTTTTTTCGGCATGGTTTTGGGCATTTTGAGTTCACTTGCTATTTTTTCAATGAAGTGATTATTTATCACATGAAATTTGGCTTGACATGGAATTTATTGCACCTCCACGAGTTGGTTACGCAGACATTTGTCTAATATGCCATTTTGTCAAAGTTGCGAGCCTCAATTGAACTTTCCCCTCCTCTGAGCTGGATCGACAACTTCTTGACATCTCCTCTGGAGAATTTGGCTGTTGTTTTAATATCTTTACTTTTGGATATTCTTGGTGCTATGTGATTTTGTTCAATAGATAGATTTTTTTGTGTCGGTCGCTTCGCTACGGTTAGTTTTGGTTACTGAGTGAAGATTAAAAGTTCTTTTCTGAGTTTTTTTTTTTTTAGAAGAACACGATTTAATGGCGATGTTGACAGTTTGTTTAACGAAGATAAAGAAGAGAAATTAAACAGTTCTATTAGTGATGAAAATCGTGATTGTGTTTTAGAAACTCCAAACTATTTCTAATGATTTCAAGGCTCCTGGAAATGTTCACGCTTGTTTCTCTATGGAGACTAATTTAATCTCAATATTTCCTTGAGTCCATTTTAATTTTCAAGGGACTAGGTGCTTCGTGACTTCCTTTCTCATAACAAAGAATCTTCTTGACGTTGGCCCTGGTTACAAATGGAATTTGGATTTGACAAGCTGTTGTACCGTTCATGCTTGAGTGGATACTTCATATAAATAGCCTCTGAGCTTTCTTTTTTTTCTTGGTATCATAAATGCTTGATAACACCACAGTTACAGTTTGCAGCCCTTTGCCTTGCAAGCTTAGCTTTAGATTGTTATTTCATATTTTTCCTTTTGGATGCGCAGCTGATTCATTACTCCTTACCTTGATTCATGCCAGAAGTATTCATTGAGTTCCGAATCACAGAGAGCCTTCAAATTAAGAAACAACTTATTGGCCTTCTGTTTCCTACTGAATTAAAGAAATAATACCTCACACCCCGGAAAGCTACGAATTACAACATCTTTGTGGTCTGACTCACGACCTCTCCTGTAAAGGGAGAGATGCAACCTGGAACAATAATGGTCTACTGGCAGATGATATTATTCTTATGCAAAATGTAAATTTGGGTTTGGTTTGGGTCGTAAATAGCCTAACTAAACGATGTCCTTCAAGCTATCTGCAAGATTTGTATTGGTCGCGCTGATACCCCCGTCAACCACAAGGTTCAACCCACTCACATATTTGGAGTCATCGCTCGCCAAGTACAATGCTGCCTGTGCTACATCCTCCTCCTCAAGCATGACCCCCTTTAAGTGTGCTGCTGCAGAAGCTATTTCCAATGCCGCATTCCTACTAATTCCTCCAAATGCATTCCTCATTAAAGGGGTGGGTACGGCGGCAGGAGAGATGCAGTTGACTCTAATCCCAAACTGCCCTAACTCGGCACACAAGTTCTTTGTCAGTCCTACGATGGCGTGCTTCGATGCTGTGTAGGCATGTGGAACATTGCCAACAATTACTGAAACCAAACTTGAAGAGTAGATAATGCTGCCTTTCTTCTCAGGAATCATTACTCTTGAAGCATGCTTAGCTCCAAGGAATGCTCCATATACATTTGTATCGAAGACCCTCTTAAAATTATCATAATCAATAGCTGATGCTTGCGGATCCCCTTTTCCAAAAATTCCTGCATTGCTGAAAAATATGTCAAGCTTCCCGTACTTTGAAACAGCTGTATTAACTGCCTTTTCAACATCAGATTCTCTTGTAACGTCGCAACGGACATAGGAAAGGGATTCGTTGGAGCAAATTTCTTCACATACAGAATGGCCAGGGTCATCTTGGATGTCTGCAATTACAACCTTGGCGCCATGCCGAACAAATAGCCTAGCACTAGATTCACCAATCCCACTAGCTCCGCCTGTAATCAGGGCTACCTTTCCTTCTAACCTGCATGTAATCAAAGGAGTTGTTGATATTGTTTTCCATCAAGTCCGTTGCACGGTAACTACAATATGGCTTTATTGGAGAGTCGTTCTTACCTCTTGGAAACAGGAGCAAGCAAGGAAGAGCCTTTCATCCTTCACCTTTGGTTCGTGCACAAAAAGGATAAAAGCTTGTACGATTTTATATTGAAGTCATGCAGCTTGTCTAGGCAAAGCTTTAAACCTGGTCCACAACTTTTTGTGGATCAAGGTGGGTGGTGTTTTATCAGCCTAGTTTTAGGGATCTCGAGCTCAAATGGGATCATTATATTATACTGAACACTGAAACTACTAGAGTTTGCTACAGGTACTTCACTATTTCCAGTGCTTCATCTTTCTTTTCTTTTTTTCATTTTCAAACTTTTTTTTTATTGCAATCAATCCTTCTATAACCTAATTTAATAGAATTATGCTTAAATTATAGGGAAAAAAATTATATTAAAATATATTGCACTTAAATGTAAATTATATATACTATAAGCTAAAAGAACATGGGTTTTTTCTATGTGTTTCCTTGTTAAGGTGCTTCACTGTTTATATAAATAATAAAGTATTTTTTTTTAATTTTTTAATTGAATTTAATTTTTCTATAACCTAATTTGATATAATTAGGCTTGAAATTATTGACAAAATATCAAATTAAAAGATACCAAACTTAAATATAAAACATGAAAAAAATATTCTTGATGGTTTTATTTTTTTATCCAAAAGTGCACTTTGTTCATTTTTCACTCCCTTGCATTGAAATGAGAGAGGAAGTTGTCCGAAAATAGCGAGGAAAGAAAAAAATCATAAGTTAGGCTACTTTTGAGCTTTATTCAACAATGAAAATCACTACAAAAATATTGGGAAAATGCAATTCCCAATAGAAACAGTGACAGAATTAAAAAAAAAAAAAATCAATTTTGTCACAAAAAAAAAACACAATTTTTCCCCCCCCCCCCCCCCCCCCCCCCCGACGATTCAGGTCTCTTCCCCGGAACCAGCAGCTTCTTCTCTTGTCCGATTCCGTGAGGTCAATCTTTTTCCTATTCCAATTCCTTTTCCCCCATTGGAGACCTCATTCCCCTCTTCCTTCTATGTCCTCCTCCACCTGAGCTAGAAGAATCTTTCTATCTTTCATCACATAGCGCTCTGCGAACCCCTTATTTCTTCTTACTCAATTCAATTGGAACCCTTAACCTCTTAAAATTCAAGTAGGCAATTCATTTTTTCTATAAGTATCATGCCTCCAACAAACCTAGTAAGTAATTCAAAACTTGTCTAGTAGGACCAATCACTTTGGATTTACTAAGTTTCTTAATATCTGCAGAGCTCTTAAATTGAACACAATTAATCCTAAAATTCAGCTTGCCATTTGGGTTTTTTTCTTTCTTTCTTTCAAAACTTTTTCTTATCTTTTTGTGTGGATTTCTCTATGTCAATAGCATTGTTTAAGCATATTTTTGTACTCGAAATCTTGAATAGACATATTTAATGAATTGAAATCTTGAATAGGCATGTTTAATGAAGATTATTAACTTTGTGAACGATTTCTACTAAGAGTACTTGACATTTGATCAATTTTAGATAAGAATTAGTGAAATTAACTTGTAACTATTTTTAACTTCTTATATTCTAGTTCAGTTTGTGGACATGAATATAATTGGTTTTATGTTGGTGCAGGGCTAGATTTGATTGTTGAAAGAAAGTATTTGATATTAAAAAATAATATAAATTTAGAATTTCACTTAACAGTTTAAATTATTAAATTAAAATAGTTCTTTGATATGGTATTAGAGTCTTAATAACTAAAAAGTTACGAGTTTGAATATTATTATCCTTATTTATTTGATAAAAATTAAGTATAAGGTAACGTAGATCTATGTAAATTTCAAGTTTAAAAGACTTTCACTTGAGATGATGTGTTAGAGAATAATATAAATTATATCTTGAAACCTCACTTAATAGTTTAAACTATTAAATTAAAATAGTTCTTTGATATTTGATATACTAATCTTATTTTTCTTTTTATATTTTAGTAATTATATTTATTTTCCCTATGCACGTTTGTAAACTGCCTTATGTTTACCAAACTATATATAGCTTGCATTTTATGCAAGAATTCAACTCTGAACGCTTGAATAAGAGAAATGAATGCTCAAAAAAATAGTTATGTATCATGGTAACCCGGGCTCTCATGCTTGGCTAACCTTTTTTTGGGCATTTTTCCTTGTTTTTTTTCTTGAAATTTTTTTATGGTTAGTTATGTTTTTGGGATAATTTAGTTTTACAAGAATTAAAGACTAATATGATTTTTATATAAATAATATGGGTTTGTTAGTTTAGTAATCTTTTTTCTTCTTTGTTTTTTATTATTATATCATATCTTTTCAACTTCTCATTTTTATATCTTTTTAAATATAATATTTTTAATATTTGTAACTAAATTCTTACTTTATTATTTTTAATAATTGGATGATATTTTTTTATTGATTTGAATTGTTGAATTTAATTATTTCTTAATTTTTATTCTTATACATATTGTTTTTTTTCTAGTAATGATTTTATTAGTCAATGTACAAATTTTTGACAAGTGTCATAGGATTTAACAAAATTAGTTAAATAAAAACCTCAAAAGGATTTTTCAATGAAAAAGTTTAAAGAAAAAAAATTAAGAACACAAGGGCAAACATGTTATAATATTTTTTTACTGGTTGAATATATGAAAAATTGACATGAAGAGGGAGTTTAGTATCTTATATCTTTTATGATTGTGATTTGAAAAAAATTATTTTATAAAAAATACTTTTAGTTGAAGTTGTTTAGTATTTATATATGTTTAGTTAAAACTGTAGTTGAATTTGAGGTTGAATAAAAAGTAGTTTAATGTATTTGGTTAAAATATTGTTTTTCAAATTAAGGTTATAAAATAATTAATATATATATATATATATATTAATATTTATGGTTTTTAGCGCGCAACAACATCGGATAAAATATAATTAAAAATAAAATTAAGATTATAATCAAATTCTACAAATACTACACCATCAATAAAATATAATTAAAAAAAATAAAATTTAATTTTTATACTAGGTCGGACCTGCAAATCCAACTGAAATCATGCACCACTATTCACTTTTAAATATATGGTCCAAAGCTCCATACTGAAAGCAGCATTGTACTGCTTTTAGTAACCTGTATTTTTAATGCAGGAATTGCTAGGGTTCACATGACTAAATTAAATTTTTAGCCATTACTAAATATTATATTTATACAATGAATTTTAAAAGCAGAAATTACAGCATACTTTATATGGATGTTGTCTTATTCCTACAACATTCATAAAGTTTCTTTTTTATATATAAATAAATAAATAACATTGCTTTAGTCTTTCTTCAAACAACTTAATTCTTATTTAATCATAATTTATTAGAGAAATGTATAATTCAAAACAACTTAATTCTTATTTGATCATATCTTATTAGAGAATTGTATAATTCTTATTGACTCAGCACGGACAAAGTTTTAGAAGATTTTCGAATTAAATCTGAAAGATATTATCTGAATTAATTTGTTAATTTACTTTTTTGTTGGAATATTTCAATTTAATTGTGAATTTTATATTGTGTTTTCCTTTTTATTTAAGATTTTAATTATCCTACCTTGTAAAGATTGATTTCTATCCTATTTAAAGAGTTTTCAATCTTTTTGAGAGATAGATGTTTAAAATAAACTACGAATTAAAGTTTTTATATGAAAATCTTTTTCAACATTAATTATGCATTTATTTACCTATTGTCTTCTTGTGTTCTGTCTTTCGCGTCACCTGACACTGTTGACAAAAAAAAAAAAAGGCACTGCACTGAGATTTTTATCATGACAGAGCAATTGGTTGTTTTCAATTGACTTATACAGCCTGTACCCATTCAGAGTTCCAAGCCTCCACGTGAGAGTGCGAGTTTGTTTTTGAAACTGAGATTATTTTTTTAGAAGAACACAATTTAATGGCGATGTTGACAGTTTGTTTAACGAAGATAAAGAAGAGAAATTAAACAGTTCTATTAGTGATGAAAATCGTGATTGTGTTTTAGAAACTCCAAACTATTTCTAATGATTTCAAGGCTCCTGGAAATGTTCACGCTTGTTTCTCTATGGAGACTAATTTAATCTCAATATTTCCTTGAGTCCATTTTAATTTTCAAGGGACTAGGTGCTTCGTGACTTCCTTTCTCATAACAAAGAATCTTCTTGACGTTGGCCCTGATTACAAAGGGAATTTGGATTTGACAAGCTGTTGTAGTACCGTTCATGCTTGAGTGGATACTTCATATAAATAGCCTCTGAGCTTTCTTTTTTTTCTTGGTATCATAAATGCTTGATAACACCACAGTTACAGTTTGCAGCCCTTTGCCTTGCAAGCTTAGCTTTAGATTGTTATTTCATATTTTTCCTTTTGGATGCGCAGCTGATTCATTACTCCTTACCTTGATTCATGCCAGAAGTATTCATTGAGTTCCGAACCACACAGAGCCTTCAAATTAAGAAACAACTTATTGGCCTTTTGTTTCCGACTGAATTAAAGAAATAATACCTCACACCCCAGAAAGCTACGAATTACAACATCTTTGTGGTCTGACTCACGACCTCTCCCGTAAAGGGAGAGATGCAGCCTGGAGGTTGTTTTGTTGAGAACAGTACATTCAGTATTTAGTATATGTGGATGTTGTGTTGTGTCCTGCAACTTTCATAAAATTCTTTTCTATATGTATAAATAAATAACATTGCTTTAGTCTTTCATCAAAACAACCCAGTGGGCTTGAGTCATGGGCATTTGGTAACCCACTTACTTTTCTTATTTATTTTTTTAAATGAAATACTAACGCAATATAATTTTCAATTACATTTAACTTTCCATAGTTTGGTATGAATTACATTTTGTCTCTATTGTTTGAAAAAATTATGCTTTTCCTCATAGACCAACATAGAATTTCAAATTAGGTGAATGTTCATCTTGCCCTCGTATATCTTATAATTCAAATTAGGTTGTGCTATTATGAAAAATGTAAACTAAAAAAATTATACAAGTTGTGTTATTTAAAATAGCACAACCTGTATATTTAAATAAAAAAAATGGATCTCACTTTTGAGAACAATAGAATCATAAATCTATGCTATTTTTTAAAAATTTATTGGGTTGTATTATGTTTTTTTATTAGGATAGTGCCATTAGGATAGGCATAAATTCCAAATCTCTTTATCAGTCCTAGTAATGAAAAGGGAAAGGCATAAATTCCAAATTCCAACTCTCTGTTGTCTCCAGCCCTTGGTATACACTTTGTGTCGTAATGGGTTCAAAACATTTCCTCTGGTTTTGAGAGGACAAGGTTGCTTTCTCTTACACAACAAAGATTCCCGTGAGTACTCGTCCAGTTTGGGGGAAAATGAGTTCCATCACTTCAGCGACTCCAGTCACCAAGAGGTAAATGACTCCTTACACTTCATGTCCATTAATTTTTATGTTTAAGTGGTCTCACTTCTCTGATCATAATCATAGAAAGAAAATATACCTGGCTGTTTCACATTACAAATCGATTTTCTAAAACAAGAAGCACGATCAATTGCAGGCTTGAAGGCAAGGTGGCATTGATAACAGGTGGTGCAAGTGGTATAGGAGCTTGCACGGCAAGACTTTTTGTCCAACATGGAGCTAAAGTCCTGATTGCTGACATCCAAGATGATCTTGGGCACTCCTTCTGCCAAGAATTTGGGCCCCAAGAAACCATCTCTTATGTCCATTGCAATGTAACCTGTGATTCTGATGTTCAAAACGCAGTGGATACAGCTGTTTCCAAGTATGGAAAGCTCGACATCATGTTCAACAATGCTGGAATTCCAGGTGACAGAAAATCAGGTATTCTAACTTGCGATAACGAAAACTTTAAGAGGGTCCTTGATGTCAATGTCTATGGTGGATTCTTGGGTGCCAAACACGCTGCCAGGGTAATGATCCCTGCAAAGAAAGGGTGTATCCTCTTCACTTCAAGTGTGGCTTCAGTATTGTATGGTGAATTGGCACATGCATACACCGCATCTAAGAATGCTATTGTAGGCTTGGCCAAGAACTTGAGTGTGGAGTTGGGACAATATGGGATTAGAGTAAATAGCATTTCACCCTATGCAGTTGCAACCCCTTTGCTTACTGATGGTTTGAGCATGACAAAGGAGGCTGCTGAGGAATTGGTCGCGTCAGCAGCAACCTTAAAAGATGTGGTATTGGAACCAGAAGATGTTTCACAGGCAGCCTTATATCTAGCTAGTGAAGAGTCCAAGTATGTTAGTGGGGTTAACTTGGTCATTGACGGAGGTTATAACCTTACCAACCCCTCATTTTCAATGGCATTGAAAGCCTACTTTCCTAACTTTTAATAGGCGAGGTTCTTAATGTCAACAACCTTAACATTGCTATGACTGCTTTTGATATTACTGCCAGTGAATTGACTATTCTGTTCTGGTTATAAATGTGGTTCCAATCGGTATCCTTAAAAATAAAAAGAAGCTTCATACAAACGATTATGTGCAAGCTAACATGGCTGACTACATCAGTTGAAAACAGTACTGTGATTGTCCGGTTTCCAATGGAGAATAGTGTCACCGCTGGTTCAAGTAAATGATAATTCTCAAAAGAAATTACAATTCGCTAGTTTGCTAACAGATCATGAGGAAAAATTCTTAACTACTTCGATCGGTTTAAAATTAGTTTTATGCTCCTTGTCAACCCTAAACCTAACATTCGAAGCACCGAAAGGAAATATTTAACTGAATCTAAGAGCCATCTATGATTTATTGATTTGATAATGGCTTATGCAATAATGAGGTGTTGAGCATTCTGGGATCAACATGTGCTTTCTCTAGCTCAATTGAAAGTTAGTAGGCAATTGACTCCTATTCTCTGTCTCTCCCTGGTTGATTAAAGTCCTTCACTTTATTTATTTATTTTGCAAATATTTGTGTTTTGATACCCAAAATGGGGGGATGCAGTATGCGGATAGATGGATAAGTGAAGCATGGATTATGTTGATCACCATTCTAAGAAGAACGAACGAGCAAGGATTTAAACTCAGAAAATATAGAGTTTTAGACAGCGAGCCACTCAATGGAATCCACCAAAAAGATGCATCACTAAAAATAAGCTAACAAGCTTAACTTAATTTTTATCAATTCAACCAATCTCTCTGTTATGGGACATGTTTTTCTTGTTTATAAGCCCTTTGAATTCTTAACCTTCCAGTAGCAATTTAACAAGCAGATTGCACTTGGATCTTTGGAATTATCGGGGCAGCCCCTGCGTCAGTTGTGGCAAAGGTTGAAATAACATTTTTTTTCCTGGTTTCATTTCAGTAGAGTTCTGCATAATTCTCGATGCAGGGGCTGTCCTGATGATCCCAAAGATACAAATTCAATTTGGTTGGAAAATGCTAAAGGATGGGTTAAGGGATCAAAAGGTTCTTAAACAACAAAAACATGTCCCAAAACAGAGGAGTATCCTAACTATTGACAAGTTCAAAAGCTTTTCTGTATTGATTCCCAGCAAACCACTAACAAGTCTATATATCAATTGAAAGATAAATGTATCTAGTTTCCAACGCTTCAAACGGTGCATGAATTGGAGTTTCCTTGAGGGAGTTGTGACAATTGTACTCCCTACTGTGCAGCTGTCAGGAATCCGAAATCCCTCCATAGCATTAATTTTAATTGCATCATTCTTCCTCCTTTGCCAACAAGCCTCACATCAAGCTTTTGACATTGTCATTTGCGGTCACTTGCATGTGAAAGGGCCTCCATTGACAATGAAATAGCAGAGATTTCGCCTGCTACAATATCCACAACTTAGACTTGATAAAACGGTGCAGATGGAGAAAGATTTTTTATTGAAAAATCTACCACCTTGAAGATTTTATCACCTACTAGAAGCTAGCTAGTTTGAATTTCATGTGTAGACGTAAGAGTAGGGTTTTTTTCCTAGCCTGGAGGAATTGTTCCAAGTATAGTTAAGAGTGTTTCATCTTTGTAGTGAGAATAGAGAATTTGTTGATGGATCAAAGTGAGCTTGTTAAAGTTTGTTTCTAGTTTCTGTATCACTATGATGGATTTCGTTAAGTGGTGAGCTATCCTAAACTCCAATTTCTAAGGTAGTGATTTATCTGTATCCTTGGATTTTTTATTTATTCCTTGTTCTTCCTCTCTAGAACAGTGATTTTCTGCATCTCTAAAGGGCTGAAAATCATTTATCCCTCGTATATCCATCCTACACACTTCTATCCCCATCATCTATCATATCCATAATTTACATTGATACAACCCCCAATCATCCCCTCTCATTTTCTTGTATCAATTCTTAGTCATTAACAATATATTTGGAATCCTCTTAATTAAATCATTAACAGTATATTTGGAATCCTCTTAATTGAATTCAATCCATAAGTTTTAATGAAGAACCATTTCGAGTGTCAAAAATTGAATTCCAAATAAAATTCAATCTCTAAAAATGACACAAAAGTAAATCAGAGGTCAATCATTTATTTACTACACTGAAGAGGATAGATTAATGTTAAAACTACCTTCTCCATAATATCAATCCACTCATCTCTTTTTTTCAGAAACTTTCAAAGAAAAGATGATGAGGGTAATACAAGAAACACAATGAATTGATTCTATATCTTCTCAACTTGTGAATTCAACTTACTGATTAATTAAATTCAAATTGAACGCTATAATTAAAATCAATTATAGTAGAGAACTGGTTCCAAATCGGTCCTAATAATATTGTCATTGTTTTCTACCATAACAAAATAATGTAGGACAACAAATCTTTAAATCACAAGTTCTCAGCATTTCATCTCATTGAAAAAAATTGAGTTTTACTTATCCAATCTGACGTGATCCACCAAGTTGGCAAGCCATATCAGTTTGTGGCACAAAATAACATAAGCCTATGAATCTACCATGTCATATGTTGCACAAAATAACAAAGTAAAACTCACATTGAAATGTACAGTATATGTTAAATCAGCATCCATGTTTGGGCATTTGAGTCCAGGACAAGTTATCAGATCATAGATGACTGATATGCAATGCATACCACAACGCTAGAAATCTCACCAGATTTACTCGCTTGAATTTGCAAGCCCCACCATGTTGAGCATGTGTCGGTCCTCCTTAAATCTCTCTAAAACTGTAGCTTTGGCGGCATCAAGTTTTTCTTCTTGTGCTCCATTTTGAACAACCCCCCAGCATTCTATCACTTCTGGGAATATGCGATTGGTCTTGGAGAGGCAAGGACTACCAAAAGTGGTGCAAGTGAAGGTCTGACCCACATCAAAGCTTGCTGAGAGGAACAAGCCAAAGTGATTAACACGTCCTCCAAAACCAATGCCATTTGGGATGGACTCTGAGCTAAAATTCGCAGCACACTGTCAATCCACAGGTACAAGCAATGTCACTTTTTATATATATACACAATTTTTATCCAAAGTGGAAAACATAAAGGTAATGGTAACAAAAAATAAGTAATTTTTGAAGAAGAGATCAATGAATGCCAAAATAAGCTAACATGAGAATCCTCACATCTCACAGATAAAAATTACTTTGACTCTGAAGGCCACAACTTCCAACTTCTGCAACGATCAAGTTAAGAGTCTAAACATGTATGTTGATGATGCAGGAAAGCTTTGAATGCTGTTCTAGATATAACTTTGGAGGTTGTTTAGGGCTGTATTTCTGCTGGGAATTGTACAAACTATTAGAGTCACTAAAAGGGTTTCTAGGATTCACACCTAGAGGATAGAAAAACCTAAGTGTAGCACCCAAGGGAGATTGAGACATACAATCATAAAGACTACTTACTTGTTTATAGATTTCTAGTTGTCAAAATCCAATAAGGACTTAGATTACTATACAAGAAATACTAACTCTATCTAGATTAGGAAAAAACATAATAAACTAATTACTCCTTAGAATATAAAACCTAGACTTACACAAATTTCCAGATTTTCCATGAATTACAGAAATACCATTGTCTTCAAAAATACAAAAGTTTTGCTTTCTTTGGTGTCCACATCATTCTCCCCTAGATGGAAAAAACTCGACTTTGAGTTTACATCAATTGTTATCAGAGCTCAAAGATTCTTAATGGTTATTTTGTTTTGTTGTAATATGCTACAGAACAACTATGGTTAGAAAAGATCTCAATAATCCGTGGTGGTTATTTTGATTTGTTGTGTGCTATAAAATCATCATAGCTAGAAAAGGTTATAGAACAAGACGTGCTTGTGTGAGGGGGTGAGGAGATTCCTCTAGGGAAAAAGACATCTAGGAATTACTTTGTTGTTTTTGTCTACATTAATTGTTGTCATTCAAAATCCTAGTGGAACCCATGATGGAGCGGCCCACGCAAAGACGTTGTATTAGGAATCCATGATAATGTAGCTCACACAAAAATATTAGGGATCCACGATAAGATAACTCATGAATAAACAGATCTTTTTAATGGAAGACAATTCCAACTAAAGACTGAATTTGAGGACAAATTCCTTTCAACCCTGACGACTGATGGGTTTTTTTTTAGGAAAATAGATATTTTTCTATTTTTATTTTTCTATTCTTTATTATAATGTTTTTCTAGTTTTCTTCCTATTTGAAGGGAATATTCTTCATAGTTTATTTTTTTCTATTCAGTATTATTCAAATTTTATAGTTTTTTTCTATATAAAAATATTATAATAGCCTTTTAACAAGTGGAGACATGAATGAATAAAATTAAACATTTTGAGAGTCTATTTGTACTTACAGTACTTTGGTCTTTTAAGGATTGTGACATGTAACAAACCCTTTTATCCCTTGTTCCTATCTTGTTCCTATCTGCATCCTAATTTTTTTCTATAAAAAGACATAAGTTTTGCTCACTTTGTTATGCGCATCAATTGATGATTTGGTTCTGAAGCATAAAATGAGCAAACATTTACACTTTTGAATTCCAAGAAAATTACCATTAGGATAGAAAAAAGAGAGTTATCAAACCTATCAATTGGAACCTATTGATAGACAAATTTCTATTTTTATCTCTAGCTGAGAAAAATGACTGATTAAGGAATATAGCGCACATAAATGAAGCTTGAAGTGTGAAACATCTTTTGGCCACTAAAGATCTTTATAATCCATAAGATTCTAGTTGCATTTGTCCCTCTCCTATGGTTCCTAGCTCTTTTTTTTTCCTTAATCTATCTTAGTTGCTTCTTCTTGTGAATCCACATTTGAAATTGCCACTGCCAACTTCGGCAGTCACATGACACATCAAAACCTCCCCTACTTTTCTTACTCCAAATGAGGTAATGCCAACAAGACATGAAATCAACAGGAGTCGGGAAGACTAAGAAGACTTTCTTTTGGATGTCACTTGCTATTGGCTGGGCAAGCTACTCCAACTTCAATTGCATTATTTTTTGGCTCAACTGTACCGCTTCAATTTCACTTGAATCACCTTGAGGTGAAACAACCTGACAGTTGGCAACAGGTATAAACAAATGACAAAACCAACAGCAAAATCAAGAAACTTGGTCTTTGTTTGCCCAATTTCCTTCTCAATTTACTACAGTATAACCACCAGTTTTTTGGGATGTTGATGCACTAAAACTTCTTCAGACCTTTTTGTGTGTAAATGGCCATTTTTTGTTTTTATGGATTCTACCCTTTTAGGTATGCTTCTGTTAAAGACATGTGCCATCCCCTCCAATTCTATTAGTTTACATGTTATGTGTCAAGTTTTGATTTGCTAAGCCATGAAAAATTGACATGTGAAATTAAAAAAAAAAAAAACCAAACCCAATTTTTTTACCTCCACTCAAGAGAACCCGAATCAAAACAAATCTCTTTCTCCTTGATAAAACACCAAAAGCCAAACTAGAACTAAACCTAGGATCCCCAATGCCAGTCCCAATTGAGCTAGCTACCAGCCAAATCACCACTGCTCACAAAACCACAACCATGAATCATGACCATTGTGATGAGAAAGAGGTGTGGATTACTAGGGACAAGGTTTTATAATATTGGTACATAGTTAAACAGTTTTTACTTAGACTCTTGGGCTTGTTTGGGAAGTTCTTCATATGGGTCTAAATGTATCGAATAAAAAATAAAAATAAAAATAAAAAAGAATGTTCTGTTTTTTATAGGGATGGTCTTGTCAGGTGGAGGAAAACTAGTGTTTGAGTTTGGATCTAATTGCAGAGGTGAGATGGTGTTGTTAATAGCAGAGCTTCTGCTGGCCATGTTAGCCCAACCATGAATTTATTTTCTAGGGTTTGGACCTCTTAATTGTTAATTTTATTTATAGCAATAATTTATATTTACATGATCTTTGTGGTTGGAAGAGCAATGATAGGAATTTATATGGTTGGTGGAGCAATGTTTGGGATTTCGAATGATTTGATAGAGAAAATCATGCATGTAATTAATAATTAGGCTGTAAATAGAGGAAATTCTAACAATTTAAAGAGAGGCATACCTCCATTGAGAGGCATTCAAACTGAAAACCAATTTCAATCTTTCTAAAATGGTATTAGAGCTCCTAACTTAAATTTCAAGAGTTGTGAGAAATTCTCATCTTGGTTTGTGGGTTGATTCAGTTCATTTTTTTGGAGGTTCTTTGGCTTGGGCTAAATTATATCAGCATCTTGTTTTGTGCCATTAATGTTTTCATTGATCTTGTCTATTTTTTTAAGGTTGTTGTGGTTTTTTAGTCATGTTAAAAAAGAGAATTTCCATTATTCGCATGAATGGCAAGAATTACTCTTCTTGAAAATTTTAATTTCAGATGTTTGTTAAAGGAAAAGAATTATGGAATCATTTGGATGGATCTTCTATAGTTCCAGTTGATCCCATAGAACTAGGATCTTGGGAAAGCAAGGATGCCAAGGTTGTTTCATGGTTGTTGAGTTCTATCAAACCTCGTATGGTTAATAATCTTTGTTCCTTCAATACAGCTATGGAAATTTGGGATTTATTTCGGCAGATGTATCATCACGATAACTCTGCTCGAAAGTTCCAATTAGAGTTGGACATTGAAAATTATCGCCAAGGAAATCAGATAATTATTATTTGGGTTTTCTAAATTTATGCAGTGATTATTCTAGGTTAGTGCAATCTAAAGTTCCAAAGGAAGCATTGGGGGCAGTATAAGCGATCCATATCGAGAGCAAACAAGACCAATTCTTAATGAAGCTTTGTCCAGAATTTGAGCGTGTATGCACTAGGTTGATTAACCGCAAACCTGTTCCAACCTTTGATGAGTGCCTGGGAGAGCTTCTGCATGAGGAACAACATCTTGCCTCACAACATGACATTGCCCAAAACATTGTCAGTACTGAGATATTCTGAGATATTCAATATGGCCTATGCAGCTCAAGGAAAAGGTAGATTCAAATCCTCGCCACAATGCTACAGTTGCAAGGAGTTTGGGCATATAGCAAAGAATTGCAGGAAGAAGTTATGCAATTACTGTAAAAAGGAAGGTCACATTATTAAGGACTATCGCATACCAACTCAGAATTGATCTACCCATGCCTTGTATAATGTTGACCAGTCCAACCTTGTTACCACGCCTCTAAATCAACCGGCTGTCCCGGGGTCTTCTTCTACTCTTACACCGAAGCATATCCAACAAATGATAGTTTCCGCTCTTTCTGCTCTTGGACTTCAAGATAAGACACAACTACTCCCCTCTCCTTGGTTATTTGATTCCGCGGCTTCCAATCACATGATTAGCAATTTTGAAGAACTATAGGATGTTTGTAAGTATGATGGTGAGCAGAATATTCAAAAAGCTGATGGTCGTACTACTCCTATTACTGCCATTAGCAATCTAAGGTCTGCCTTTACCAATTTTTTTGTGTCTCCTGTCTTATCTGCCAATTTAATCTTTGTTGGCTAATTGGTAGAAAATGATTATTCCCCTCATTTTGACCATCATGGTTGTCATGTGCAGGATCAAGTATCGGGACATGTAGTAGCAACGAGGCCTAAAGTGGGACGTCTTTTTCCTCTTCAATCTTTTTTATACCTCATTCAATATATTTGGGTTGTTCTTCTATTACCAATACTAGTCATCTTTGGCATAAGAAATTAAGACATCTTAATTCTATTATTTTGAAACATCTTGTTAAAAGTGGTTATTTGAATAATATACATGAGTTTTCCTCCCATTTGGCTTTTGATTGTGCTTTTTATAAACTTGGTAAAAGCAAATCATTATTATTTCCTATGCAAGAAAGTCGGGCTTCTACCTATTTTGAAATTATTCATAGAGATGTTTGGGGTGCAAATCATATTCTTTCTCATGCGCAGTATAGATATTTTGTAACATTCATTGATGACTATAGTCGATTCACTTGGATCTATTTCCTTCATTCTATAGTTGACGTGTTTTCTATTTTCCAAACTTTTGTTGATCTTGTAGAGCCACAATTTTCTATCAAAATTAAAATCTTCCATTCCGATTCTGGAGGAGAATACATGTCTCATGACTTTCAATCCTTCCTACAGCAAAAGGGTATTATCTCTCAACATTCATGTCCTTACACTTCTAAACAGAATGGAGTCACCAAGTATAAAAATCAACATCTTGTAAAAGTTGTTCATACCTTACTGCTTGAATCTTTTGTACCTCCTCGATTTTGGGTAGAAGTTTTATCTACAGTAATCTATTTGATTAATCGTTTGCCTTCTCAAACCTTGAATCTTGATTCTCCATATTTTCATTTGTTCGGAGTCCCTCCTAACTATAATTCTCTTCATGTTTTTTGTTGCATTTGCTTTGTTCACTTAACTCCCATCAAACACCACAAGCTTGCTACTCAGGCTGTTCAATGAGCTTTTCTAGGCTATAGTAAATCTCATAAAGGATTTGTATGTTATAATGCGGATAATAACAAGATTCACATTTAACGAAATGTGGTTTTTTTTTTTTCTAAATTAGTATTTCTCTCCGTCTTGTGGCAATTTTGTTCTTCTTTTGCGTTGCTTCCTACTTCCTTCTTTTGATGATATGTCTACTACTCTTAATAGTTTTAAGCTAGGAATTGTCTATCAACAACGTCACCCACTACCTCTTTCTACTTCTAAACCAACATCTGATCTTATTTTACAAAAGCCTCAACGGTCCACTCAGGTTTCACAACCTCCAAATAGGTATGGCTTCTCACATTCTGCTCTTCAGGCCAATATTAATACTAGTTATGTGCCTAAATCTTATTCCGAGGCCTCTAATCAAGAGTATTGGCAACAAGCTATACAAGATGAACTCCAAGCTCTTCAGGATAATCATACTTGGGATATTATTTCTTGTCCCTCTGGGGTAAAACCTATTGGATGCAAATAGGTATACATCATTGAGATGGGTGCTAATGTATCTATTGACTAATATAAAGCTCGACTGGTGGCACTCAAAAACTGACAACAATATGGCCTAGATTATAAGGAAACATTTGCTCCTATAGCCAAAATGACTATTGTCCATATTCTTATGGTCATTACTGTCTGAAAAGGATGGTCGCTTCGTCAGATGGATGTGAAGAATGTTTTTCTACATGGTGATTTGTAGGAAGAGATTTACATGACTCCTCCTCCTGGTTTGTTTTCTTCCTCTTCAACTGAGGTTTGTCACTTAAAGCGATCTCTATATGGTTTGAAGCAAGCACCACAGGCATGGTTTGAGAAATTTCGTGCTACTCTTTTGGATTTCACCTTCATACAGATCTAGTATAACTACTCTCTTCTTTCACAAGACTGACATTAGGATCGTTCTACTTCTTGTATATGTCGATGATATTGTGATTACAGGATCTGATTCCTAGTTGATCGAGCAGCTTCAGCAGCAACTCAAATCTTCCTTTCATATGAAAGATCTTAGTCCGTTGCAGTATTTTATTGGTCTTGAGGCCCAGCATTGTCCAACTGGCATACTTTTGCATCAACATAAGCATACCCAAGAGCTTATTTCCTTAGTTAGACTTTCAGATGCTAACTCGGTTCTTACACTTATGGAGGTCAACTTGAAGATACATCATGAGAGTGGTGATCTATTACCTAATCCCTCCATGTATCGGCAGCTGGTAGGAAGCTCGAATTATGTGACCATTACCTGACCTAATATCTCGTTTGTTGTATAGCAGGTTAGTCAGTTTATGCAGGCCCCTTGCCAAACCCACTTAGTCATTGCCCATTGTCTCCTTCGATATCTTAAAGTGGCATCTGGCCATGGTTTGTTCTTTTCTTTAGGGACTTCTTTACAATTGGAGGCTTATAGTGATGCTGATTGGGCTGGTTATCCAAATACTCGTCGTTCTATTTCTGGTTAGTGCATGTTTCCTAGTAGTTCTCTTATTTCTTGGAAGAGTAAAAAGCAAGCACGTCTCCAAGTCATCTACCGAGTCTGAATATAGAGCCATGTCATCTACCTGTTCTAAAATTACATGGCTTCAAGGGCTATTAGGTGAACTTGGTGTTCCACAGCTTACTCCAACTCCTCTTTATGCTAATAACACCAGTGCTATTCAAATTGTTGTCAATCCTGTTTTCGATGAACACACCAAGCATATTGAGGTGGATTGTCATTCCATTCGTGAAGCACTTGTTCATCAAGAGATTGCTCTTCCTCACATTTCCACCGAACATCAAATTATTGACATCTTTAACAAGGCTCTCTCTCGTCACCACCATAAATTCATGATTGATAAATTGATGCTTCTTAATCGACTAGCATCAATTTGAGGAGGGATGTTACCAGATTAGGCAATATTTTATATATAGCAATAATTTATATTTACAGTATCTTTGTGGTTAGTAGAGCAATGTTAGGGTTTTATATGGGTGGTGGAGCAATGTTAGGGATTTTGAATGATTTGATTGAGAAAATCATGCATGCAATTAATAATTAAGTTGTAAATAGAGGAAATTCTAACTATTTAAAGAGAGGCAAACCTCCATTGAGGGGTATTCAAACTGAAAACCAATTTCAATCTTTCTAACATTGATTTTAAACTTCACGTTCAAACCTTGCAACTTCTTATTGGATAGAAGGGCACATTCCTTAACGGAATAATACTTAAAAAACAAAATTCATAAAAACAATTGTAAGCTAAAACCATTGAAAAAACAAAAAAAAAAAAAAAAAACAGGCATACAATGGCAAAACATGCCATTTACCTGACATTTTAGAAAAGAAAATTGACACTCTTAAGCCTTTGCATCCAACTGCCTTATGCCAAAGCAGAAAGGAAAATTACCGGCAGAATCAAAACAAATAGGCAACGACTGTGATCCTACATTCTTAAAATGATTATGCACCATTACCATTATTTCATAACAGATAAAATAAATGGAAACATACCCATTGTACATTATTGTTTGCTCCGGTGGGCTTGAAAATTGATGCCTTCGGGTAAAGCTGAAACAAAAATGACTTCAAATCTCCATAGAAATCGCCATGCCTCTCCCAAGGCTGAGAAGCATAGCCTCCATATATGTAGCCATCTTTATCCTTAATAATCAATATTGTCGGCCCTTCACCATTTCTGCAGTTCAAGTGAACAATTATCCATTCCACTCCTACTTATAAAATCAGTTCAAGCAACCGAGAAACTGAAATAAAATTAGACTACCTATCTTTTACACTATTTTGTTTTCCAGTTAAGAAAAAGGGGAATTGAAGAAGGAGAAAAAAAAGAGGAAGCTAAACATCAAGACACCATGGAAACCTAGCAAGACATAAAATATCGTTGTCTACTAATTTCTGCATCGATCACATTATGCATATCCATTTTGGCACAAACAGCTTCTAGCAATTCTAACTAAAGAAGTCAAACTGATAACAAGAAGATGGCATCTGGTTGGAGCACCCCCTTTCAAGGAAGAAGCGGAATTTAGTTCCTCTGGCTATTGTATGCTGTATGCCAGCAAGAGATAGCTGTGCTATTTACAAGTCTTTCACAAACTAAACAAGACTCATCATCCCTGAGCACATCCAACTGAACCTTTCTGCACACATACTCCATGAGACATTGGAACCTAAGAGATACTTGCAGAGAATTCCACAAATTCCATGCTCATAAATCATTATTTAGACTTGTTTATAATAAGAAGTTGACTTCTGAAATTAATTAAAAATTAGGAGCAGAAGGTGAACCAATAAGTACTTATAAATCAGAATCGGCCCAATTCAGGAGCAAAGAGTGGGTAGAAAATCTCAAACAATTTATCAAAGCAACAATTAGTAGCCTTGTTCCATAAATGTGAGAACACTGAGATCTAAAGTCTTCACATACCCAATGGATATACATACATTGACGTCACTTCATTAATCCAATCTCCAATATAATATTACCTTCATGATACAAAAGAACCTAATTAACACTATTGATTGTGATGATTGTATGGACATGTGAGGAAGTTCCCAATTATTCAAGCCCAGGCAAAGAAAAAGTTTAACAAACAGCATGAACCCATCACTTCTGAGCAGAATACAATTCAAAACAGTTTTGCAAAGGATTATCGAACGTTTATTCCAAGGAGTTTTAATTGAAATTAATGAATCTTGAGAAAGCCACCTTTAAATCCAACACCAAAATCATTTTTTGAAGCATGAAGAAATTCACAAAAATCAAGGAAATCAAATGACCCAAAAATCTGATGATTTACATATCAATTATTATTGAATGAGAGAAAGCTACTCACGATGTACTTCCCAAGAACGTATTGAAGCTCATGCCATTAATAGCACTATGGTACAAAAGTTTCCACTCCTCCAGCTCATGGTGTGGAAGGGCTCCTCCTATATGCCAAGCATATTCCTCCCTCATTACTATCAAGTCAGGATTGATATTATCCCCGTGCACCAACTGAGGAACTTGAGAACCTAACCTTCCTACATAGCAACTTCATGATCAAAACTAGAAGAACAATCACACTTTATCTCAGTCCACTAAATTGAATTATGATAGCCAAAAATATTTGATAAGGTCTGACAACTGAGTGGTGATGATGAAAGAAAATTATACCAGTCAATAATTGAATTTGAATACCATGAAACTAGAAAGAAAAAAAAAATCATATGTTTTGTCTAATTATACAAATGATACAACTCATCCTTCCAAGCAATTCTGTCTAGCATCCAATTTGTGGAAATATATTATTTACACAACTACAACAGAAACAGCCCGTGAAAATTGGAAATATGTTTGGTGATTCATGGTGTATTTTTCCTTATCTCAAAAAAAAAAATCTGCATTAAATGAACTGAAATTATCAGTCGGTATTTTCTTTTCATGGATCTAAATAAAAAAGAATGCAGGGAAATCCACATATCCCAATGGTGAAAGGCCACCATGTTCATGAGCCATAAAAAAATTGAGTACATATACTTCATCCAAGTAATGCTTTTTGGAGGGAAAAAAAAATGTTTAAGACCAGTAACGAGATCAATCTGCTTTATATTGTTCTTAAGAGAGGAAATTAAAATGTATGAGTATCAAAACTAAAAACTATAGGTATTATGTGAATGAAGAAAGATAGAAAACCTGCATCGGGGGGTATTAACAAACTTCCAAGGAACTTCCTGACTGATGGAAGAAGAGCACACCAACTTCTGAAATCCTCAAAAGACATACTTTTCTCAGGTGCTCCTTCAACAACCTTCGAAAATTTTGCAGCATTAAGAAATACATTAATAATCTCCCGATGTGAATTCAATCCAGGGTTAGAAGTTTCCAGGGAAAAAATACTCCTCAAAATTGCAGCTAGGACAGATTCAATATCACACCTGAAACAGATTGCCAGTGTTACATACATCAACAAACAAGAACAGCAAAGGGAGCAATGCTACAAATGACAAAACAAGATCTATGTATCATATACTACAAATGACAAAACAAGATCTATGTATCATTTGTATGTATAAAATCATTCTATTGAGAAAAATCAAAGAATACTAAAACCACGCATATACCATGTAAGGATTTAATATGAAAAGAGGAATGTGAGATGAAGCTTTGGCTCGCCACCCTGAGCCATAGGTCAATGTATTATATTTATAGATATACACTGTAACTATAAGATGGTAAAATACAAGACAAACTCATTCTAAAGGGAGGGCCACAATATTAGGAGACTCAGTCAAATTGCCAACAGAATGGATATTGCAATCTGTTGCTGCTGCATATCCTGCGCACGTACATGCACATTCATACATTTAGAACTAGTAAATAGAAAAAAAGGTTACCTCCCCACAACACCATCACCTGTTACATTAAGTAATTGATAAATAAACTCTTCAATATCATCTCTTGTTCCTTTCTCATAAACACTCTGCAATACCAAGAATAAAACACAAATAAAAATAAGCGGCTGCGAGCAAGTCATGATCACAAAATAACCATAAATATGAATACACAGATTAAAAGTTCCAAACTTTAAGCCTTACTTTAGCAATAACAAGATCGTGGAAGGTGAGTTTGTTATCTTTTCTCTGTTGGGTCACTAAATCAAACAATCTCTCTCCGAGAGAACTCTTTAATCCAAAATAAGCCTAATCCAGTAATTTCTGTCAGCTTCATTAATTGAAATTAAAACAAAAATAAAAAAAAAAGCTGGGTTCTGATAAATTGGGAAATAAAACACAAAAGGGAAGAGAAATTTATGAAACAAAAACAAAACTGACCTGAAAAACAGAGAGGGAGATATATTCATTGTTGCTCTTCGATTGGGCAGCCAGAGATACAAAGAGTGAATTGAGGTCTTCAAGGTCCTTTGGAGTAAAAGCTCTGTTCGATTTAGTATTAATCAATCAGAAGCGATACATTCACACGTATAATAGAGAGGAGGGAGGGATTATTTAAGAGAGAAACCTGGTGGCAGAAGAGAAACGAGGATCAGCAGGAGGTGACTGAGAATTGCCCATTGCTAGCAGCTTTTTCTCCTTGTTTCTGGGAAATTATTTGCAGTTAAACAGGTAGTCCTTTATTATTATCGTTCCTTCTTTCTTTCTTTTTTTTTTTTCTTTTTTGTCTCTGTACTGTGTATTTGCTGAATATTTATAGTCACATATTCTTTAATAATAAAAAAAAAAAATCAATCAATCAACTTGTGACTTATTTTTTTTGGTTTTTGAAAATTATATGATTATTGTTTTTTTAATATTTTTTAGTTAAAAATATATTAAATTAATATTTTTTATTTAAAAAAATTATTTTTAATACTAAAACATTAAAAATTATTCAAAAATATTAATTTTAAATAAAAAAATTCAATTTTAAAAAAAAATAAATTTTTAAATAGGTTTCAAATGGCTCTTTGTACTCAAGTTTGAGTTTCTTTTTATTTATTTAATTATAAACAATAAAAAAAATGATGATAGTATTTGTTATTTTGATAATTAATATATTTTAAAAATATTTTTTATTTAAAAATATGTTAAAATAATATTATTTAATCTTTTAAAATTTATTTTTAATATTTACAATTTAAAACAATATTAAAACACGGTAAAAAAAAAAAAAAAAGTTTTTAAGAACGGCGTTTTCAACGCATTATACGGGGTGAAATTTATAAATATGTAAACTACGGAACAGAGAGGTACCTCTGAAAAAAAAAAGCCCAAAACAGAGTAGAAAATTCCTAACAGAGGAATCGTTGCCGACTCTGGTGAAATGACAGCAAAACAGGAACATAATAATCTGACTAAGAAATCCCATTTATGTTTCTCCTTCTCTCACTGAATTTCGATCTGTAAGTTTTATTTCTTTATTTCTGCTCCCTTCATGTGATTAAAAGAACATTTGTTTAATTAAAAGAGCTGCTTGTGCTTCCTGTAGCAGTAAAGGATGGCAAGACCATGGGTACTGGTGTTCTTGCTGTTGTTCATTGTGCTCACCTCTCAGATAGAGTGGAAACAACAATTTGGTAATGAAATTGAAGCGAGTCCAAACATTTCCCAGAAAGACCACCAACAACAACATAGTTCAAAACGACAAGACGTTGTCAAAGAAAAGGTTTCCTTCTTCTTATAATTACATTCCGTGTTTCATGTGCTAATAGAACCAACAAAGATTACAAGGGAAAGACTGTTGGTTTTTTTTAATAAGAAAAGTGAGAGTTGAAGATTTTGTTCTATGCATTCATACAATTATTTGATCAAGTGGCTTCTATTGAATTATGTGGGAGAGCTTCAGTGATTTTTTTTTATTTTTTATTTTTTTGGTGCTGTTGGAAAGTTTGATATAGTCTTGGAGTTTCAAATGCTTGAGTCGAGGAAATACAATAACGTTAACTAATTATACTGACTGTGTGATATGTTTGGTGATTATCCTTGATGCAATTTTGGTTATAGAGGAAGTGCTAGGTAAAGAAATGGCGGTTTCTTTCTCTTTTTCTTTTTTCGTTCATTCGCCATGGACTTATTAGAATCAGTGATGAATCTAGTGCTTTGTTGCAATTTGGTAATCGGAAGAGTGTAAAACATAATCTCTTGCTTTTCTTTTTCAGTCGTTCGTTTCCTTACAAACCCAAATGCTGGTATTGTAAGCTGAGTTCTATTTTTGGATTGACATAATTCGCTACTTTACTACTAGAGTAGTGAATGAACTTCTTATATAAACATAGCATGACGTTTGGTACCTTGCAAGAATTGAGCTTTCTGAAAAAGTTTTTAGTGTCGGCCAAAGTTGTAGTCATCCAAGTAGGACCTTGTAATTCAAATATATAGTCAGATCAACTATTTAGTCCTTCTTTTATTTTTTTGCTGGGCTATTTAAATGTTAAATGGCAATTACTGTTGCCAAAAGATTGATTTCATGCTTTCTTAGGACATTATTATCACTTAAACATTTGGAGCATGTGTAATCAGTATGAATGTTGTGATCATTGTTACAATCAATAATTTTATTAATTTGAGCATTGATTCACATCAAGATAAACTCAAATTGGGTTTAGGTAACAGCAAACGTAGGGCTTATGAAAAAACTTTCAAGAGGCCAAATTCTTTCTGCTAAAGATTTGCTGGCTTTGTACTGTAGCCTCTAGTATCTTTTTGAAAAGCCATGCAAGTAACGAAAAGCATTCACTTTTTTTAGCATGCTCTCTGTTGATCTTTTCTTCTATTATTTCTGATAGTTTGCATGATGACTTCCTGCTAAATTAATATAATTCCAGACTGTGACTGTTAACAAGGTTTTGACATGAACTCCTACATAGGCTGGATTCCAGATATATCCATGCATTGTTAATTTTAACTGAAATTTTGTCTATCCTCAATCAGTTGTTGTTGTTGTTGTTGTTCTATTCCTTCACATGGTCTTATCACCATTAATGATATCATTGCTCAAATTCTCATTCAAAGCAAGTACAGTTTTCTGATTAAATTAGAGTTTGTTAAGCTGTATTTTTCTCTTAGAGACCTTAGTAGCCTAAGTGTTCCTCTTTCTTGAGTGAATCCTTTCTAAGTTCAGATGCCTACAAAATCATTACTTTCCTACTGTGACTAGTGTCTCTTGTTATAACCAATTTTTTATTTATCCCTGCTATAATGTATCAGCCTTTGGTCCACTGTTTTGTTTTTGATATCCTGATTGATCAATTAAATAAAGGGACTTGATTGATTTCAACCGAAAGACTTATGTGGCATCCATTGTCTTTCTTTTTATTTTTTCCTTTAGCTTCCTCAAAAACAATTTTGCACAATCTGTATTCTGCATTACCAGAATATGAACAACCTATCAGTGCATCTTGTAAACAGAATTTATTTTCCTCATTTCATTTTTTCAGATGAACTGTTGAATATATTGGAAGAATTTGGTAGAGATTCCTTTATATGTCACTACTTCATCTGCAGACAAAGGTTGTAAGCTATTTATGTAAAAGGCTGTTGTTGCCACACCATTGCAAATGTTCCTCCTTCCCTTAGGGTCTGAAGTTCAAGTCCTCCCAAAGTCCAAAAAATGGCATGTACTTGACACCATATTAGTTAGTTCCCTCAAGTCAATCCTGATAAGGTTTGGAATAGATGGCCCTGGTTTAGCTGGACTGATAATGGATATCTTAAATGCTCCAGCTCATGGGAAAAAAGAGTTGTCAATTTACAAATCGTATGGCCTGAGATATTGTGGTTAACCTGAAGTGTTCCATGACATGGATTTATTCAACTTTCAATTCGCAGCATTTTACTTTACAAGTGTGCTTGTAGTCAATTAGAAAACATTTCACATTCTTTGAGTTATTTTCATTGATTCAGTATGCATTTGATTTACTAGATATTTTCCAAAGGAAGGTCGAGCACAAGTGCACTGGATTTGTGTATGCTCCAAATGTTGGATTGCTTGCTAACTCCCATTATGCAATGAATGTTTGCTGTGTTTGCTTTGTCTAAACAGCTTGTCCATCACTAAAGTATCTTATCCTGAACCTTTTTTTCCTTTGACTTTTTATTTCTATTCATTGTTCAGGTTGTATGTTCATTATCTTGTCTGAATAGAGTGTTTTGATTGTTATGATTTTTTACTTATATGTTATAGAAATTATACTCCACTTGTCAAGATTTTGCTTATTTCAATTCCAGTTTTGTTTTCACCCAATCAGTTGTTGTTGTTTTTATTCTGTTCCTCTACATGACCATACTCCCTTTTCAATAAAAATGATGTTCCTGCTCCCAATCCTCATCCAGAACAAGTACAGTTATCTAAAAAGTTACCCGCCCTTCAGGAAATCACTCTCAATTATTCCAGTTAAAAAAATTAGTATCTTCGTACTTTGACCAGCACTTTACTGGCCATAGCCTTGTTGTCTTTGATGCACTGACCTTGGTGTGCCTTAGGTTTTTGTTATAAAAAATAATCCAGTAAATGAATATCTTTGATTGACTTTTGCCTTGCTCTTTCCAATCTGAAAGCTTAATCAGTGTATTCCTGGCCTTCCTTTTCATTTATTTTCCAAGCATTTCTTTCTTTAAAACATTTTTTTTGTTTTCAGACTGGGTTTCCTACATTCTGTATTCTGCATCACCAAAAAAGAAACTTCTATTAGTACACTTTATAATCAAATGGTATGTTCTTCAGCCCCCCTTTCAGGTTGAATTGGTGAGCAGATTGAAGATTTTGGTTGAGATTCATTTTTATGTCCCTTCATTTGCAGATGAGGGAGGGATTTCATCTTTTAAGTAAAAAGGCATTTAGTTGATACCATATGGGTCAGTTCCCCTTAATCAACCTTGTTCAGGTGCAAAAGAGATTTTCATGGGATAATTGGGGACAGTGGGTGCTTATCATGTTAAATGCTTAAAATCTCAAAAAAAAAATAATAATAATAATTGCAGTTGCTAATTTACAAATAATATGGTCAGAGACATTAGTGGCATGTAGTAGTTCTCATTACCAATACCTAGCTTCAGGCGCACAACATTTTACATTACAAAGATGTCCTGTAGTCTAGTCAGGAAACGTTCTACATTCTTCATGAGCTATTTTTTTCCCTTACCAAGGCTCGTGAATCATTGATTTAATATGTTTTTTGATTTACATGATGTTTTGATATGGAAGATCTCACACAAATTTTCTTGCTTTATGTTCACGGTCTAAGCATTGAATTGCTGACTAGCACCTTCATCTAAACAGTCTTCTATCTCAAAAAGTAGCTTAGAATAACATTTTTCCCTTGAATGACAATTGTGTTTCATTGTTGAGGTTCTATTTTTCATGATCCAGCTGATTAGGTTGTTTGAGCTGTTACAAGCTTTCATCATTATGTTAGACGTTGTGTTAGGCTAGTCAAGATTTTTCAAAATTGCGCTACAATTGTTAATCTTATGGCTATCATTGCTGCAGATAATCCTCTCACAAGAGAAGAATATTCAGAAACTTAATGAGCTTGTCCAGAGCCTCCAAGAACAATTGCAACGGTGTAGGAGTGAAAATTATGTTCTCAACAGCACTGCAACCCCTTTGACTGAACATTTAAATGATCTCAAACAGCAATCAGTACTGGATGACTAGACACGGACCGCCCATGTTTAACATTGATATGTTTGGTA